GTGGCATTTATTTACTTGTTGCATCTCCTATTCTTCTCAGCAGATTTAAAATCTCCAAGGTGATTGTTGTGGGTGACCTGGCTGTGGGGAAAACCTGTCTGATTAATAGGTAAGCTCAACACAGTCAATGCAGCAGTTCTGGGAATAAATAACTCGCACAATAAAATACCTCAGAGGACCTGTACCTCCTGTGAATATTATTAATTATTAAACAGGATTGAAATCTAAAATAAATTAACACTGTTATAGACATTGGTCGAAAGTTACCAAGTAGGTTTACATAAGGACTGTACCATGTCATTTTGCTTTAGTTAAGAATTCCAACTGTGCCACTTTATACATGGACTCAACTACAACTCATCTTTACTGCACTACATTTATCCGAGCTGGATTTACAACTTTCTTCATAAATAAAACGTGATAAAGATTAAACTACTCAAAAAGTGGATGTATGTTTCACCTCCATCAGCGGTAACATTTAAATTCTGCTGACATGTTTAAGCATCCATACAAATGTTCTAATGTGATGTTTTTATTAATATAACTCTAAAAGGCTTAGTAATTTAACTTTAAAACTTGAATTATCTTATTTAAAGGTAGGGTAGGTAAGTTTGAGAAACCGGCTCGAGATACACTTTTTGTTATATTCCATGGAATGCTCTTAACATCCCGATAGCAATGAATATCTTAAGTGCTTTGACAAAAAATCCATAACAAAATGTCATCTGTGGAAGCCGTAATAATGTAAAAAGTACGACCAATCATTTTAGCCGGCCCAGCTAAAATACCTGGATGGCCTACCTGCCTGTCAGCCTCCCATCGGGGCACAAACTTATCTCGTGCCCTCATTGGTCATGTGCGCGTTCGTGTGTGTTGGAGGAGGGGCTCTATAAGGAAGTGGCAGATTTTCTCTGGTTGTGTATTTTCAAATTCTAGCGATCTCGAGCCGGTTTCTCAAACTTACCTACCCTACCTTTAAGTTCAATTATGAATGTAAAACTATTGCTATTGGTATTGCTATTTTCTTAATTTCTTAATTTCCTAATTAAATCTGCAGAGCATTGCTTTGAGATATTTTGATCTGAAAAAAATATCTCCATTAAGATTAGAAATTAAAACATTTTGTCATTACAGATTTTGCAAGGATGCTTTTGATAAAAACTACAAGGCAACGATCGGTGTGGACTTTGAGATGGAGCGCTTTGAGGTGCTGGGTGTTCCTTTCAGCCTACAGCTGTAAGTCTAATGACTACATTATTTCAAACAAAACAAACAACTGAGTCTGTGTGATGGGACATTGCCTGAATGTCTGTCTCTCTTCCAGCTGGGACACTGCAGGCCAAGAGAGGTTCAAGTGTATTGCTTCTACGTACTACAGAGGAGCCCAGAGTAAGGGCTTTGTGTGTTTCTTAAGGGACTAGTAAGAAATGTACTCAAGAATGTATTCTCTCAGGGGACAAAAGGAAGCTGTAAATACATTACTGGAATTTGTGGCTTCTAAACATTTTATTGATGTAATATTTTCTTTCCTTCCAGTTGTGATTATTGCATTTGATGTAACTGACATCGCCTCTTTGGACCATGTGAGGTAAGCTCATTCATTATGAGCCGTTGGTTGGCACAGTTTTCCGTCCCAGCTGGAAGACTTTAACCTGTCCTATTCTGTGTGCAGGCAGTGGCTGGAAGACGCCCTGAAAGAGAACGACCCCACCGCCGTCCAGCTGTTCATCGTGGGCACAAAGAAAGACCTGAGCGTATGTTTTCTTTTAAATTGGACATGCCTGTGAATGTGTTTTTTTGAACACGAATGTAAATACTTTGGATCGTTGCCAGCAGCACAAAGCATTTGCGTCCGACACTAACCTCAGGAATGTAGCTTCCCCCGACCTTCACTTCACTAGAGGTTTCAGAGAGAGGCTGCAGATATTTCTTAGACATTACTGTATTTAAGCAGTGGTGGGAAGTTAAATGCAGACTCACATTTCAAGAAGTTTGTCATTTGTGTTGAACTACTTAATGTGTCTCTCTTTTGACTTTACTGCAACTTTTACATAGAAGGTATTAGCACACTGAGATTTAGTGTTTTTGTCTATGTACATGATAACAAATTAGATGAACACATCAGTAATTTACCTTTTATTAATGGAGTGCTTCTCTTGTACTTGAGTCACTTCCTTGCAGTAGAATAACATATAACAGTACTTAAAATATAGAAAGAAAACTTTATAAATTTGGATTTTGACTGTCAGTCGGCAAAAACAAGCAATTTGAAGCCCAGAGCTCTGGCCATATTTAACTTAATTTCACATTTTATGGACTTAAGGACTAATACATAAAGCAACTTTTTTGTTTGAGATTATGTCCAACTGTCTGCTCTGGTTTCTCCGACAGTCTCCTGCTCAGTATTCTCAGATTGAACAAGACGCCCTCAAATTAGCACAAGAGATCACAGCAGAGTATTGGGCTGTGTCCTCGCTGACAGGTGAGCGATTTATATTTAAATACATTAACCTGATCAGTGTGGGGTCAGAAATGGGTGGGTAGTCTGATTTTGGGGTGTAAAGCAGTAGAGGGTCTTTAATTTTCTTCTGCCATACTGCATATTTATTTTGTTTTGCCTCATTTGGAGGTAAGATTTACTGTAAAAAACATGCCTTTTACACGTTTTTCCATTTACAAGAAGAACAGTGGTGATTTGTAACAGGGCTTTATTTTGTATTTGTGAGAAGAAGCAATACGTTGTTTTAAGAAACATGTAGTAAGGAGCAGTTTCATTAAAGAGCATGCCGTTTATTTAACTAGCCAAGTCCATCACTGATCTAAATTCCCTCGGTGCTGTAGGGGAAAACGTCAAAGAGTTTTTCTTTCGAGTTGCATCGTTGGCATTCGAGACCAACGTTCTGGCCGAGTTGGAGAAGAGTGGGCCGAGGCAAATTGGGGGCATAGTCAGTGAGTATCAAAACCCATCTCTCTATGATCATAGAAACCATCACATTTGTCTCGTAGTTTTAACACCCATCTGTCAATCTTTTCCAGGGATAAACAGCACGCCAAGCAATGTGAATGCTTCAACAAAGAAGAAACAGCCAAACTGCTGTCAGTAAGGAGGTTTGAAGGGGGTAAAGACTGAAAATAAGAAAAAAGGCTGGAGGGATTTCTGTGGTGAAAGCAGGAGGAGGACGCTGGAGTTTCTACTTCCTGACATCAGTGGGTTCAGTTTTTCCTGGCCTAGAAATAGTTTTCCTCTGTGGGATGTGGATCCTTGTGGTGTTGCTCGTGAACGTTAAAGTTACACAGCAATTACACCAAACTGACTGGTACTGCAGAAATGCCAAAGAGAGACTGGATGTTTTTTTTAACATGGGAGAGTGTGGATGCTTAGAAATTAGTTTGAGCTGCTGTAGTTTGTTTAATAGTTTAATAGATTTTTCTTCCCAATAATACTCGGATTTACCTTAAAGTATGTTAAATGGCCTTTTTTTAATGTGGTACTTCAAGTGTTTTCATAATGTCATAGACGTTCCCAACCTTACTGTAGGACGTGAGAATAAATCACAGGAAAATAACATGATATTTTTTAATCTACAGTATTTGCTTCATAGGTACTTCTGCTTGTTTAAAATCAAATCAATGATTGCATTTGAATGATATGATCAACAACTGAAACAGTGGGTACAAATATTTTATTCATGGTAAAATGTAATAAATGTAATAAATATATATATTTGAAAAATGTTGTATTTTTTTTCTAGCAGTTATTTAGTATAGCTTGTTAAAACATTTACAACACGTTTATGCTGGTACTTATTTTGTGAGCAATATTCATATATCTCTTTTTTTACTGAAGTTGTAGGAAATGCTAATTTATTGTTCAGTTAAAACTTATGAAGAAATCTAGATACTTCAACTGCATATGTAAAATGATCTGTTTATTTTTTTCCAAACATTTTTTACCGACAAACAGATTCTATTTTATAAGACATGGATACAAGTTTGGTATACTGTATCAGGCGCAAAATACAAAGCAAACAACATTGTAAAAAGCACTGATATGGTGAATACATGTACAGATGAACAATGGTAAAAAACATGTTTAAAGCAAACATTAACATCGCTCTCTAATCGTCCAACCAAAGGCTTTTCTTTAACTGTAATAACAAATTATAGTAATACATAAACATACATTTCAAATAATAGTTTTCCAAAACAATTACAAAAAAGGTTGTTTGGAAATATCTAATATTTTTGGTCGGACCTAAAGGGATCTTTTGTGTATACATTATAGATACATATACAAGACCTACTCTAAATTGGCATTAACTTTATTTATTTGTGATGTCCAAGATGAAACTCCTAACATTACCACTAGAGGGTGCCGTGTCTCAGGGAATAAAAGGACAATATCATCTGGGTCATGTCTGGTGTCATGTTTGTTTAAGAACATTACTCTATGAATCGATAAGTCGGTCAACATAATCGATAACTATTTTCACAAGGATGCAATTTAGTAATTTTAAAGCAATGCCAGTTTTTTTTATTTGGTTGTGGCAGATGTAAGGATTTCATACTTGTCATATGTTAAAATGAATTGCTCATTTGATCTGTTTTGTTTTTTACACAATATATATATGTTATAATCTGGTAAAACTAATCTTCAAATTTTTTGGTTCGAATTCTGTAATTTATTTCACAAATACAGTGGTGCATTGAAGCTCTTCTTACACTCACATCACCTAAAAAAGTATTTCAGGACAAAGTAATTATTTAACCAGTATATTGTATTTTAAATGGAAATTATCCAATTATAAAAACGATTATTTACAAATAGCAAATAGCATAAACTGATAAATATCCTTGCCAACACTCACAAACAGTTGTGTGGCTTTTTTTTTGCTGAAGCTCTCACAACCCCGGGGATTTCCAAACATGGCAGCTGGGAAAACATTAATCTCCTCAAGAGAAATAACTGATATGATTAAAGGGTAAAAAGCAGAGGAAGATTAACCTGGTTTTAGCACATCCAATCTTACTTCCAAAGTCTTTCTTTGCCTGTGTCGTCAGTGTATGTCTGGTTTTGGGTTGCCACACACACAGGTGTCCGGCTTTGCGGAAAGCCAGAAAACCTTTTCCAAGGGCGGTGGCAACAGAAGCACCTGAAAAAACAAAAACATTCATCCACACTGATAGAATTATATCTCAGAATGTATCACCATGTTGCTAACCCTCAGTGTGAATTGGAGGAAGAGTGCTTTCACATATTGTCATGCCTTGTGCTATGTGCCATTTAAAGTCAAAGTATCTACATGTTAGTATCTGAAATCAGAGATGAGGTAACACGTGTGATTGCCTTTAATCTAGCCTTATATCCTTCTTAAAATGAATTGGAGTGTTTTCCTACCAAGAATGAATCCCATTGCATCTATCCCAGCAACCAGGTCAATGGTGTCGCCGTGGAATGGACTGAGAAGGTCTTTGAGTCAGTTTGCTAGAGCCTGAATGCAGAGCAAGGACAGTAAATGCACACAATGCAAAACAATTGTTATATCTCTCACAGGCTCCGCCCTCTACTGGACTCTATGGGTACTACCCCTTGATCATATCATGCAAGCATTCATCCACTGAGACTTCTATAAACGTAGCTGGCCCCGGGGCGGGCCTACCTGAATGCGCGCGCATCTCACCGTATAAAAGGAGGCCTCGCCTCCTGACTGTCATCCTTTTCTCTTCAGCGAGCAGGATTAAACAACCTGAGCAGTAAATGAGAAAGGAAAAAGAAGAAAAGCATGGACTCACCACTCCTCGAACACCGGACCTGTCTGACATGCCCTGGCCTAATCGCGGGGGCTGATCCGCACCGCCTGTGCTTGCAATGCCTGGGGCCGGACCACGCCGAGGACGGCCTAAGCCAGTCGCCGGCCTGCAACGCCTGCCGGATGATCCCTCGGGTAAGCCGACATCGTGGGGATCATTTCCGGGTGAAGTTCAGCCCGCCGGAGGAGGCGGAGGATCAGGACCTTGAGGTGGTGGAGATGGGTGAACCGGATGACGAGGTGCCATTCGTGTTCGCCATCCCGAGAGGCCGGGTGGCCACGTTCATGGAGGAGGAAGACAACGAGGACTGTGGCGGCTCAATCCCCAGTTGCGTTTGAGTCGCCGAGAGGCTAAACTTGGCTATAAACTGTGACGCGTTTTCGAAGAGAAAGTCCATAGTGAAGCAAGATAGTTTTTGGGATATTTAATAAACAAAATCATAACATGGACAAAACGGTCAACAGATAAAATGACAGCACAAGCTCACCCTCTGTCATCCGCACTCGACATGAAACAGGTGACTTAAATAGACAAACCACACCCATGTGACAATTACCGGAAGTGCTCAACAAACAAATAAAAGTGACTTAAACAAATAATAATACAAATAATGAACTTGGGCTAAGTAGCATTATGGCACCTACAATACCGGCCCCTAATTATCATTTCACAAAATTATAATTACACTATAATAAATGACAATACACACAATAAACGTCCAGATCTCTTTCTTGAATTCTTTTTGTTCAGAGTTCATATATTGCAGTCTTTTTGGAAAAGTGATCTTTACTCACTAATCAGTATCAGTAAAAAATGCTTAGTGTGGTTTGTGTGTGTGCAGGGGGCAGGGGGCAGGAGACAAAAAATAAAATAAAAAAGACAAAAAATAGTCCGTTTAGACTTGGAAAAAGTCCTCTGCCTCCTGAAGAAGGCTAACTTCGTTAATTGGTCTGCTCAAGAAACCAGTCTTGGTCTTGATCCGAAGCATACGTACGAGTCTCTTTTCTTCTTGTTTGCCACCATGTTCTCCATCCGAGGGATCTCAATCCTCTTTTCCTCTGTGGCTTTTTAGACTCTTTAATCGTTGGCTTCTATATGTTGACACTATTTCCATATTCACACCAACATTTCATTAAGCTGGAAAAAAGAGAAAAGGAGGAGTTTCAAACGTCTCTCAATTTGACTTGTTCCAAACTAAGATGGCAGCCGGAAGTGTAAACCTGTCTTATTCTTCTTCCTCGTTGGTTTCGCTTGCAATTTAATATCTTGTAGTTCCTCTTTGATAACATGTTTTTCTGCTTCCATTCCTGGTGCTTTTTGATTGTTCATCTGGATTTCAAGAGCCTTATACGCTTCTTCTTCTTGTGAAAGTTCACATTTCAGGTTTGACATTTGGCTCATTAATCCGTGTACCTTCAGCTGTTGACTGGCAATTTGTTTTTCAAGCTGCCCTCTCTCTTTAGCTTCCCTCTTCCTTCTCTTCTTATGTTCCTTCATCAATTTAGCTTCCTTCCTCACCTCATTCTTTTGTTCCTCCTCTATTTCTCCACCTTTCTCTTGCTCAGGCTCACTGTCTTCACTGTCAATGGGAGTACGGATAATTCTCTTGCTCTTTTGGGCCCCTTTCTCTTTCCTATCACCCTTCTTTTCTGCCTTTTCAGTGTCCATCTCCTCTCCGCTGAAAGCAGATAAGACCAGCGCTTCGGCCATGTTTACACTTAATGAAGTTTTGTCCCGAGTATCATCAGGACATCCTCCTAATTAGAGATGTCCCGATCCGATCACGTGATCGGGGATCGGAGCCGATCACGTGATTTTCAAAAGATCGGAATCGGGAGAAGAAAATCGGGGATCGGGAATTTTTTTTTTTTTTTTTTATAAAATATTTTTATAATTTTATTTAAGGTTACAAAACAAAAATGACCATGTTCACGTCTTAAAGTCATCCTGAGGCCTTAGTTTTAGTTTAAAATTACACAACATCATGTATGTGTTGCTTCTTTTGGGCTTGTTTTCATAGACCTGGTTGCTTATTTCTCTCAAATCTGGCAACAGAGTGGGCGCAGTGTCTAATAGTAGCAGTAAGCTAACAAGAGGCTACGTTCAGCTGGTGACTCGGGAGTCGGGACAGAGAAAATGTCAGGAGTTTGGAAGTATTATAAAATTGAAAGCGAAGGCAGTGTAACAGCCAGATGCGATGTTTGCAAGGCGGAGGTTCCGCGTGGTGGAAAGAACAGAGCTACGTTCAACACGACCAATCTAATACGCCACCTGAGAAACAAACACCAACAACAACACGACGAGTACACAGCGGCCACTCCGGTAATGGCACTGAAACAACCGACACTTTCAGAGACTTTTAAAAGGAAAGAGAAACTGCCCCAGAACAGTGAAAAGGCCAAAAAAATAACAGCCAAGATAGCTGAATTCATCGCGTTGGATGACCAGCCGTTATCTGTTACCTTTTTTTTCTCTTAATGCATTGCATAAAGATCGGAAAAAATCGGTATCGGCAGATTGTCAAAATCAAATGATCGGAATCGGATCGGGAGCAAAAAAAGGTGATCGGGACATCCCTACTCCTAATGGTCCACTAACTGTCCATCCGAGCATGGTTTTTACGGCATAAGGTCCATCCCCCACACTCCTGATTACATCAATTGGTTCAAGGGCTTTTGGAACATCTGAACCAATCAGCAACTCAATTTCAGCGTCAATTTCAGGTAGACAAACATCCCTCAAATGCAACCATTGATTGATGTCGGTTTGACGTGGAATGTTTCCTTTGTGCACGGGCATAGTCTTCTGAGTGTATATGCCGGGGAGATCACAAAAGTTGCTGTTATGCAGTCCAGCAACCTCTAGGCCTGACACAATGCTGGTTTTAACGACCTTCCTTTGACCCATAGTTCTCAGCAGAATGTTTGACCTTCTTCCTTGGAGGTTAAGTTTGTTCATAAGGCCTAATGTGCAAAACGAAGCAGTGCTGCCTGGGTCAAGAAATGCATAGGTATGCACTGTTGTGTTCCCCTTTTGGGCTTTAACTTGGACTGGTACTATGGAGAGTTTGCAACCATCTTCACCGGCCCCAGTAAGGCCACCTGTCTGAATTGAGGCTTCAGCAGTATTTGCCGATGCTTCTTCCATTTCCTCCTGCTCGTTTTCCATTTCCTTCCTTTGTTGGTAGATGTGCAACATTCTGTGATGATTTAGATTGCATATGTTGCACCTCATTCGTTTCCTGCAGTCTCTACTTATGTGTCCTTTACACAGGCAGCCAAAACAAAGACCATTTTCTTTAAGAAATGTGATTTTTTCATGATGTGTCCTCCTTCCTAACTGTGGACACATCTCCAGAGCATGTTCACATCTACAATACAAGCAGTTTTCTACAGTGCTTCTGTCATATTTATTTTCTGTAACCTTCACGTTGGTTGCAAAGATGCTTCCACTTGGATGAGGCTGTGGCCTTCTTATGTCTTTGCTTACGGGAGGGGGGTCTTTAATGTCCCCAAATATGGGATCTGTAGCAATTTTTACTTGCCTTTCAAGGAATTCCACAATATCCTTGAAGGCAGCTCTTTGGTGGTGTTTTTCCTGGATGTCACATGCTACAGTTCTCCATAAATCCCTCAGCCTATATGGAAGTTTCTTTAAAATGGCTAGCATGTTTGCTGGAATGTTGAGCTCAAACATGTAGTTGACATCTTCCATCGCATTGCAACATCCTCGAAGGTAGACCGTGTATGCCTGTAGAGCCCTTGTGTCCTCAGCCCTTATTAATGGCCATGAAAGAGCTCTTTCCATGTATGCTGTAGCAATTTTATGTTCATTGCCAAAGTTCTGTTGTAGTAACCATTTGGCCTTGCTGAATCCACTGTCTGAGGCCATATGTTGGCAACTCCGTACAAGGTCTCTGGGCAGTCCTGCTCCAGGTAGTAGAGGCAGTCTCTGGGGTTATTGTTTTTGCTTTCAATATTGAATTCGAAAGATCTCACAAATGTTTGGTACTGAAGTGGGTCACCATTAAACACTGGAATGTCTTTCTTGGGCATGGATGATAGACACTGTTGCTGGATTAATAAAGCGGTTATTTCATTTTGTTTTTCCATGACTGAAAATATATTGCACTTGTCACTGTTGCTTGTGGCAGTTACTGGATCTGGAGATGTTACACGTAGATGTTCATCTAGATTCCTGATGCCTGAATTGGGTGTTAGGGGAGCTGTATCAATGTTAGTGACAGCTCTGTCTGTGGTGGTTATGATTGGTTGTTTTAATGTTACAAACTGTATTTCCCTTTGTCCTGTTTCAAAATATGACTGCATGCCATTGGATGATATAGAACAATTAGCTGATCCCCTGGGGGCTGCTAACACTTTCATTTTTGCAATGGTGGCAGCAATGTTTCCTTCTAATTCCATTTGCTCCTTTTTCTCCTCAATTCCTGCTTTTTCCTCCTCAATTCCTGCTCCTGTGCTTCCAGGACATGTTTGTCCTTTAGGAGTTTTTCATGACTGCCACTTCGGCCTCAGCTTTTATGTGTGCAGATGCGGTGCTGGAAACTCTTGATCTTGAGCTTTGCCTGCTTTTTGTGCTACCAATGTTTGATATGCTGTCACCAGGTTGTATATCATCTTGTGTGCATGATGTAGCCTTCATGTTTGACGGGGGAAAGAGA